TTTTTTTTGTTATTCGCCGGTCGATAATGTATTATCTCCCTCTCGCGCTGTTGCGAGGGAGACAGCCTAATTTCGTCACTCTCACGTGATATGCTCTCAACCAATAAAACACTAGAAAAATGCGACTTTGACTATTGATATATAATAATATAGCTTATAGTATCCCACGCTGCATTGCGAAATCATGAATTTGAGTGAAATACCGTAAAAAATCACATTATCACGTGGTACAAATGCTGTTTTTTTCAATGGACAATTTGAATTTGAGGCATAATATTTATTATAACACAACATGTTTCAGTGAGAGGAAACTGTATCCACGAAAAACTTTAAATGTCTATCATGCAGTCTCCAGTGTATAAGTAGCGAAGGATGTAACATACTAGGGAGCTAAAGCAAGCGACGTCAACATGGACGTCAGATTACCGAGGGGAGGACTGGATTAAAAACTGTGTTTGTATCAGTTTGTGGTAATCTTCAACACATATGACGAAACAGAGAACGCACCGACATTGTCGAGCTAAATCTACACAGCGGTTCCTGCAAGATGCTGAAGCCATATTGCATGGACATGCATGCCCGCCACCGGGACATGTTTTCTATGTATCGGGTAATAACTCTCGAATGAGTCAAAGCTGAGAAGTATCTTATATTAACTTTCTAACCTGCATGTCTGAAATCTTTGAAATTGAGACATTGACCTCGTTCTAGATGTTAAAAACCCTGTTATGTTCCCGTCAGTCTCAAAAACAATAAAATACTTCGCCTTTTAGAAGCGGAGATTGCGTCAAGACTGACAAGAATAAAATACTTCGCCTTTTAGAAGCGGAGCCATTGCGTCAAGACTGACAAGAGAGATTTTTCATGTTGACAACTAGTAAAATCCATGCTTTCCTCTAACCATATTCAGGTTTAAGATTTCCATGTATAATATTTACCATTTATCAATAATTCTTACCGTGAAAAGAAATCAACGACTGTCATCTCGGTTATCTGAAGATAAAATGTTGGTAACTGTTTAACGTATAACTATACGGTATGAGTGAGAAATATTGTTTTCACAGGCTGACAGGCAGAATAAACATCTTGATTGAAATGAATATTGCCACTTGTTTGATTGTTTTTACATCCGGAAAATTTTTTTTAAATTTTTTATGATACTTCTAAATACCTTCACCTGACGTTTCTTATTCTTCCACCTTTTATGAGGCTAATCTTGATGACAAACGTTTGCCCTTTCTCTCGAGATTTCTGAGCTAGAAATTAATAATTAAGTGTAACAATAAATGTAATAAAATATTCCAGTTTGCCGCTCAATCAATTCGCATCTGTTTAAACACAAAAGTCAAAAATTTTGTTTAAAAATTTGCTTTATAATAATGGCAGGAATGGCAGGTATAATTTAATTTGTATGTAAAGTATATATCTTTTAAATTTTGAGATCATGCATGGTATTTATGTGAACAAATTTAGAGCACTAAAGGAAAGCACATACAAATACACCAATAATCATTATTTCAGTCCTTATTGAATGAGGTTTAGCGTGATATCGCAAATTTTCAAGGCCGACTGTTGTGTTATACCGAGGCCTTGATAATCTTCGATATAACGTGAAAACCGAATTTTATGATATTTTATTACGCATATTTATGAAAAAACAAGATTGTTTTAATTTACTAAACATAGTTTTACAAATTCAGAAAGGGTCTTTTTCTTTTGAGTTTTGCTTATCTTTTTTCTTCAAGACGCTCGTTTAAAACTCTTAATGTTGACTTAATTTGTAGCCCGCATACTGCTTTCCGCTTTGTTTTTAGTTTACCTACATCGCTTTCAAACACCGAGACAAATCTTCCCATGACTTTATATTTTCTGCATGTAAAGAAGCTGGCTTTTGCTGGCGTTGCGATTATACTCTGCAGGCTTGACGTAATATTTACTTTTAGAAACCTATAATATGCATGCAGATTTGATGTCAAAATTACACAATATCGGGAATTATTTGTAGGCCAACAGCCAAATCAAAATGGAGATTCTATTGTAATGCGTTGGAATAGGAAAAGGTAAATAACACAGCAGTCAGACACGTTATAAAATAAAGTTATATAATATTCGCCAGGCAATTGAGAGACTGACCATCAGAAACGTGGTGCGGGGGGGGGGGAGGGCAAAAATAATAGCGCAAAGACAATTCGTGCAAAGAGGAAAAACAAAGAAAAATACCTTTAAAATT